TTTGGGCCAGGCACGTATTTGTTAGCATGAACTGCCCTATGCATTGTAGCATGGTGAGCAGCATGCCTGCCTGCCATTCAATAAATGCTAGTGGCAAACACAGATATTGGATCCCTGCATTTTGAGAACAAATGGTCTACAGTCCTGTGAGATAGATGTGTGTGTGATTATTTCAATGCACTTCTTTCAATCTTGTCCATATCTATCGTCAGGCCTTCTAAGCTCATAGGCAGCTACATGCCAAACACATCTTATTTATTCTTGTCCTCAAGTTTCACATTTGGTCTAATCACAATTCATTACATGATGAGTCATACACTCGATAGGGGCATGTACTGTATGTACTGTATGCTATCTTGCAGTATCAACCAACGGAAAACATTTCATGCAAGTGTCCATTTTTGTTTGTTCGACACATTACAAAATAGCAATTAGAATGCAACCAACACAGAAAGCTTTTAGCCAGTATTCCTGAATTCAGTGGGGTTCGATTTTTTATTGTCTCTACACCCTGGAATTCTACAACGCCACAGTCCACAGTGTAGCACCTTTGCATCCCAGCGTTAACTCTATTCAGGTCTTTCAATTTCGTCAAGTGAACACACTTCTCTACATCAAGCAAATCTTGTATTTTTGTTTCTGTCCTAATGATCAGGACTGAATCTGTGCCTTGGATAAAAATGATTAGATAGGGCTTGGCACAATGTGTCAATGAGCTACTGTGAATGCATGCAAAGCAGGCTCTGCTGTTCTCTGCATCATGTCACAGATTCTGCCACTGGGGACTCAGGTTGCAATAGCCAATCATCCCGGAGGTTCAACTGCGGGAGCGACTGCCTGGCATGTCTCCAAGGTCAGAAGTCAAGGACTAAATGAATTCATTTTAGGATTTTGATGAATGCCTTTCCATTAGAAGGTACAAAATGAAGAGTAATTGATGTCTTGACAGTCTTTTTTTGATGCTGTAAGCCATTTTAAAATGGTAGTTTTATACCTCAAGATGCATAACACTTACACACTTTGATTTGTATGTCACAATATTAAACACCTACTTTGCCTAACAGTCAATTTAGAAAATTTTCTCTTTTGAAGATTTACTTGTTTTTATTGGAAACTCATATATATAGAGCAGGAGAGACACACAGAAAGAATTTCCATCAACTGATTCACCCCCCAAATGGCCTAGAAGACTGAAGCTGAGCTGATCCCATGCCAGGAGTCAGGAGCTTTTCTGGGGTCTCCCATGCAGACACAGGGTCTCGGTCCCAAAGCCCTGGGCCATGCTTGACTGCATTCCCAGACCACAAACAGGAAACTTGATAGGACGTTAGCCTGCCGGGATATGAACTGTCGATCGCATGAGATTCTTTGTCACTCAAGGTGAGGATTGTAGCAACTAGGCTACTGCACCAGGTCCCAAGTTAGAACATTTTCAAGGAGCGTCTTAGATTACTCCATATGATTGTTGCAATGAATTATGGAATGATGCCATTGATTTCATAACGAAATAGTCCTGTTTTGAAAACACTCATGCATTTAAAAGTGAGCCCACACTCAGTGCTCCCTCCTCCAGCCCAGAGCTTGGCACCTGGGCCTGTAGCGGTTTGCCTGCGCCAATACACACGCGTCCTGTGGAACTCTGGCCCCCGACGGCCACCGTCCAGCCCACAATCCCCGGATGTTCTGCAGCCCTGGCCCCATGACGCCGCGCCTCCTCAGTGGCTCAGTTCCCTAGGTGATGGTCCAGCGCCGGCCAGGGTGTCTCCCAGAAGGCGCCTTCTCGGCCACGCTGCCTGCTCCCGTCTGTGGCCATGGTGGCCTAACAGGTGCCGAAGGACACGGAGACCCTGGACGCTGTTGGGGCCTGGAGAAGGCGCTGCTGCGGGACTGGCGGTGCTGCTGCGGGCCTACCTGGCCAGGCACGTGCTCAGCCACACGCGCTGCTGCTGGCCGTTCACAGGCCCAGGGAGTGGACCAGAGCCATGTCGGCTGCTCCCCAGACGCTCTGGGCGAGGACTGTGGCGGCTGTGGCCTGGTGCGGCAGTGTGAGGCAAGGTGCCACTTTCTCCATGCATGCCCCGTGCTCCAGGGCACGGCCACCCGTGCTGAGGCACCCTGTCATAGGCTGTGGGGGAGAAGGCGCTTCTGCTGATGCTGGACTGGGTGGAGCAGCTGCCGTGGCCGCACCAGCTGCAAGGCCTCCTGCATCCACAGTGTTCCAGCCGCTTCCACAACTCCTTCTGCATACTCCTGCGGCCTGAGGAAGAGCTGCAGCAGCTTTGTGCACACCTCGCCTACCAGCTTGCCCTGGAGCAGGCTGCAGCCTTGGCTCTCTTCATTTGAATAGACAAGCAGAACGTGGTCGGAGGTGTCCACGAAGAGATGGCTGAAGATGGCTTCTTCCCCGAGCATCCGGCGCCCAGCACCTGGTGGTGCAGCTCAGGTACCACTGTGTGGCTGGTGGGGGGTTTGCTGTTCGAGGCCCTTAGCAGGTGGTTCCCAAGGTGAACGTCCTGGACCCCACGGAATGGCTATGGGGCCGCTTCCCATGAGCAGGCTTTGGCCCGCTGTGGCCCTTGGGAGCCGTGAGCAGGACTCGTGCCATTCCCCTGGTGAGTCCCAAGGGCATGAGCCCTGCCCCAGAAGGCCATGGAGGCCTTGGGGAGCAGGGAGCTGCATTAGTGCAGTCATATTCACTGACTGACTGCAATTGTATCCATAAATATATGTCAAAACTTTTATACATGCTAGTATGTTGTTCATCACATCTGTTCATTACACCAGGTATATATATATATTAATATTATAGAAAACAATCTGTTCTTGTTTCTATTTGCAAAATATTATTGCATGCCATAAAAACAGATCGAACTCCACTGAAGAATATAGAGGCTTTCATAGAAAAAAGGCATTAAAGCCTTGTAATATTTAGCAGATAGGAATTAAAGTCCTAGCACCAAAGTCAGTTTACTCCATAAAAGTGAGTCTTTTATCCACATACGGAATACTAATGGGTGTTCATGAATGATAAGATCCTTAAAATTGCATGGATATAAAACCCAACCTACTTTACAGAATGCCACCACAAAGTATCATTTTAATAGCCAAAACCATGGATTTTAATACAAAGTAGACACTAATTTTTATTTTGCGTTATCTGGGGGATTGATGTGTTGTTTTCTTTTTAATCTGACCGGAGTTGTCTGTTTCTGTTTCTGCAATTTCTAATACTTTGTTGGAGTGTCCTGCAGAGACCTTCCTTTGTGCATATAAAAGATACCCTCTTGCAAGAAACTTCCTTCTTCTCATAAACTCTTGCTGAATTTACTATGATAGGTTCAGGAAAAAAAGTCCAGCCCCGTGCACAAGGTAGACAAGATGTGTGCTGCAGCAAGCGCATGCCTCCTGGGAGCTGCAGACAGAAGGCCCCATTGGTGTCATTTGAGGCTCTTAGGCTTTCTCCATTGCATCTAATGATAAACTGATATAAGTTGCTCACATCAGTATTATGGTGAATGTTATCAGAATTCTTCAGAAAAAGCTAAACAGCCAGGTTACTTTTTCTGAAAATTATTTTTCCAATTAAAAGAAATTCAAAAGAAAGCGTATGTTATTTTACACTAATTGATTAATTTTGTTTTAGTGATCAGTCTATAACCTAAACTCTATAATAGTTTCTGTGAGCTGGTTTAAGAAACGGGGTCAGAAGAAGACCACAAAAGGCTAAATTTTTCATCATTCCTAAAGTGGCTCAATGTCTGGTATCTGTTAAGTGATGTGTTTTACAAGAATGTGAATTACGTGCTATATTGTGATTATAGAAATTAGAGAAACCACCTAAAATGCTTCTTATGAAGTAATAACAAGACTTTTGTTAAAGCAGACTTTAAAAAATTACGAAAAGGCCATGACAAAATGAAGTGGAAATGGATTAGAAGATAAATGTAAGTATAAAGAAATATCAGAAATAATGCAAATACAAACCATGTATGCTATTGCTTTTCCTAAGGAACTTCATTCAATTGAATTTTGCAATATGTAGCTCAAGAATAATGATAATTTTAATAGCAGATCTCTAACTTCCAATATGTAAGTTTCTCACTGGTATAATTTATAATATTAAACCGCAATATCATGAAACCTTCTTGAACATTGACTCCATGAACATTTACACAAATTCATAGTCAAGATGATTGTACATAGGCCACATATTATACACATGAAAAGTATTAAACAAAATAACTAAACAAAAGTCATGTCTTCAATCTTGATCTGTAAATCTCTTCATTCTTCACAAATAAAGTATTTCTTGACTATAGCATAGAAGAGGTGTTTTGTTTTGTCACTTTGTTAAACTTGACTTTGTTGTGTTCCCCTCACGAGAAAAGTACATGTTGTGTAAAGTAGAAAATTGTCATCCTCTAAAAAGAACTCTCCTACATTAATATAAAATACAAGAAAACACAGCATGTGTCCTAACCGTGAAAATATAATCGCTAAGTATGCAAAACTCGCAAGCAGGCGACCTTTTGGTATATGATTGTTTTGCTAATATAAAAGCTGCATGTGTACACTAATATTTTTAATATTTAATATTTTACACTAATTGTGTGTAATTAATTGGTGCTTTAGAAAGAACTCCGGAACAGATGCCCTACTAAAAACAAACATTTAGAATAACTTGAACAATATTCCTACCATATGATTCTTCTTTCATTTCCTTAGCAGTAGAATTTGCTAGCTAAAGTTAGAAATCAAACTACATGCTTCCTTTTCTCTTTCCAACACCTGCCAAAGAGCACAAGGTGGATGGAGATGAAATATATTTCACAACTTCAGACAATTACTACAAACTTGAAATCTTCACATCATACCAAACAGTATTTTGCCGTACTTCTGTTCATGAATATATTTTAAATTTTTGATTAAACTACAGAAGGCATAAAAGCAAGTCTACAGATCTAAAATTTGGAAAATGACTTGAAGCATCACTTTCACATTTACGAACATATGCTCTGCGTGGCTTTCCTGAAGGCCTCTTTGACATCCTTGTTTCTCAGGCTGTAGATGAGGGGGTTGAGCAGAGGGTTGACGATGGTGTAGAACAAGGCAGTCACCTTGTCTCTCTCCAGGGAGTAGGAGGAGCTGGGTCTTGAATATATGAAGAGCACGGATCCATAGAACAGCATGACAGAGATGAGGTGGGAGGCACAGGTGGAAAACGCCTTGCGCCTTCCTGAGGCTGAGCGAATCCTCAGGATAGCCAGGAGGATGGTGAAGTAGGAGAGAAAGATGACGAGGAGGCAGGAGAAGACAGTGAAGCCAACCATACATGTAAGGATTTTCACGTACTCCTGGGTATCCGTACAGGACATTTTAACCAGGGGTAGTACATCACAGAAAAAGTGGTCAATGATGTTTTGACCACAGAAACGCAGGCGGAATGTGTTGGCAGTGTGCGCGATGGCATTCAGGAATCCTCCTATGTAGCAGCCAGCCACCAGCCCAGTACACAGAGCAGTAGACATAACACTTGAATACAGTAGTGGCTTACAAATTGCTGCATGACGGTCATAGGCCATAGCTGCTAGGAGATAGCCCTCGGTGTAGGCTACAACACAGGAGAAGAAAAACTGAGCCCCACATCCAGCCAGGGAGATGCGCTTATCCTCTGAAACACAAATAGCCAAGATTTTGGGGATATACACGGAGGTGTACCAGAAATCCAGAAAGGAAAGGCTACCTATGAAAAAGTACATAGGTGTATGCAGGCGTGAATCAATCCAGATTAGGATAACGAGGCTCATGTTGCCTGACAAGGTTAACAGATAGAGTAACAGAAATAGTCCAAATAGAATCAGCTGCCACCGGGGATCTGCTGAGAAGCCCACCAGGATGAATTCAGTAAGGAAGGTGCGATTTTCCACTTCCATGCCCCCAGCGTGGAAAGCCTGAGTAACCATGTAAGGAGCAAAAAGATAATTCATTGACTTTTTAAGTAAAGTAAGTAAACAAAGGCATCAGTGATGTCAGCAATTAGAAGATAACCTGTAGGTTTTTCTTCCAAAGAACTTTAAATTGTGTAACCTGAGTCAGTCTGTGAGTTCAGATGATTGTTGGAATTGGATTCATAACTGATTTTAAAGATCATATTTTTCATTTTTAAATAAAACTCATCATAATTTAAACTGAATAAAAAGTAGCTTTTCTGACAAAGAGACAAAGTAGAGAGGCAGAGAGAATGAGGGAGAAATTTTCTTGCTTGAAACAATTATTTTGTGTCCTAGATGTTGAGTATTAGGAAGAACACAACACTAAGTCATTGAGAGACCATGAACTCTTCAGATTAAAATCCTGATACTTAAAAAAAACTGAGGAAAGCTAAGAGAAGATATTTAGCTACGAACACTACTTGATATTCAAGAAAAAATATATATATATGTAAGATTTTTAATAAGTATGTGAAGCAAATAACCTCTGTAGACTATCAATCCAGGGGCAAATAAACTCTTCCAGTCACTCCCCTAAAGGTTCCTAAAGTAAAAGGAAAAAGTTAAAATGGTGAGCAGGAAGTGACACAGTGTCTTGCAGCAGTAGCAGCCCATATGCATGGCAGTTCATGACCCAGCTGTTTCACTCTCTGACCCAGCTCACTATTTGTAGACTGGGAAATCAATGGAGGATGGTTCAAGTCCTTGGGTGTCTGGATCCAAGTGAGAGACGCAGAAGCAGCTTCTGACTCCTGACTTCAGATGGGCTTAGTTTCAGTCATTCTGACCATTAGGGAATAAAACAGTGACTAGATGTGTCTCTCTCTCTCTCTCTCTCTCTCTCTCTCTCTCTCTCTCCCCCCTCTCTCTCCCTCTCTCTCTCTCTCTGTCTCTTTGTATGTGTGTGTCTCCCTCCCTATGTAAATCTGCCTTTCAAATAAAAGTGCATAAGTAAATCTTTTTTTAAAGGTAGGTAAAACCAGAGTGGTTATTGTTATTTATTTCTGTGTTGCAAACATTTATTCTGAGTTAAGCCAAAGTGTTTTAACTGGAACATTAGCTCAGCGTGTCTACCTCTGTATTGGCTGTTGTGGTTTGTTAAGAAGTGAGATGCACAGATGTAGCTGGTGATGATCAGAGATGATGTGATTTGACTAATAACATCATACTCAAAATAGCTGGAGTCCTGAAATTTCTTTCATTCCTGTACAATTGCATCAGGGATTTCCTTTAATGAACAAACTATAGATGGTTCTGCACTGAACCTGGTGTTATGTTATGCTTATAATCCTTTTTCATCAATTTTCTCCATCTAATGGGACTTCAAACACCCTAGATGATTCATGTAATTGATTTTCTCACAATAGTCTCACATTCCAGGAATCTCACAGTAGACACACACTGCTGTACTATCATAAATTAACATACTACTCTTTTTTTTCTAAATACACATAACCATGAGTAGCATTATTCTACCAGAAGCTTAAGATTGATAAATAAATAATGTATAAAATCTTAAGTTGCAGTCAATCCATCTGTGAACTTCCTCTTTTATGTTAGCATATGTCTGTAAAATGAAACACTTCTGAGATGTGTCAGGCTTATTATCATGGCACAAGTTTGGGAAAATACAACTTTATGGAAAGAGCAAAAGTGGCATTCTATTTTTTGTTTTAGCTCAGAAAAGGCAAATAACTGATAAATTAACCCGTCTACTAAATGGCTCAAAGGAACCAGAGGAAAAAATATTTACACAACCTCTCGTCTAACAATTTATTTTCATCATGTGTCAATTAATCCAAATACAACATCTTATATATATATTATATATTATAATATTATATATTATATTTAATAATTTACATATGGCACGTTATATATATTAGTGTAAATTGTGCCATGTTTCTTTTTATATGACACACTACAAAATCTAGAAAGTATAAGTAAATGAACATGATAGAAGTTTGAAAACTCTACATGTAAAGATATAACATACACATGATCATTCTGATTTCGACCTGTGACATGTAATTGTATCACATTTTACTTTGATACCAAAATGTTTAGTGTTAAAATAGAAAGAACAAGTTCACCAAAAAAGTAATGAACCACAAGGTATGCCGGGGGAAAGGAGGCCACAGTCCATCCCTTGCTGCGACAGTGTGGGTTTTTTCCCACCCCTTGTGTGACTGTTCCTCTTGTGATTTGGTTTCACAAATTAGTTTTGGACCCAGGTGGATTCCACGCGCAGCCTCGAAAGATTTTTGGGGGATTCTCATCTCACTTTTGGAATCTTGCCACCAACAGATAATAAGCCTGGGTTACTGTGCAATGCAATGTGACAAATGGTCGTATTCTGTCACTGCTGCTACTGGTCCCAAAACATGTGATTAGGACCATTGTATTTGATCTAGTTCCAAAAAGCAAGAACTAACCAGACAGCTGTGCTAGCCCAGCTAGAGACAGGAGGGTTTAAAGTAGTCAGAAAAGGAACTTAACAAAATACAAAATTTTTCCAACCTATTAGTTGCACTTCTCAAAACAAGATATTATCTATATAATGCTGATAAAATGTGCAACCCAGTGTCTGGAAAGAAAATGTATCTCACAAATGGTAGCTATTTTTTCTGAGCAGGAAAATAATATCCAACAGCTTTTAAAACGCCATGCTGTCATTCACAATTTTGCTGCAATCCAAAAACTTTGTTTGTCACCTACCCTGACTTAATTTAAAGACACACATTTTGGGGCCTGGTGTGGTAGCCTAGTGGTTAAATCCTTACTTTGCACACAGCAGGATCCCTTATGGGTGCCAGTTCATATCCTGGCTGCTCCAGTTCCCATCAAGCTCTTTGCTTGTGGCATGGGAAAATAGTGGAGGATAGCCCAAGGCCTTGAGACCCTGCAAGACCTAGAAGAAGCTCCGTGCTCTCGGCTTCAGATCGACTCAGCTCTGGCCTTTGCAGCCTCTTGGGGAGCGAAGCAGCGTACTGAAGCTGTTCCTCTCTGTATCTCCTTCCTCTGGATATCTGCCTTTCCATTACAAATATAACACATCCTTTTCTAACAAAGCCATTTCTATCATCTTTGTTTGGCAGTGAAAACATTTAAAATGTGTTCTGCAAACACGTTTCACGTGTCCTGTACAGAGTTACCATGCCTGCACATTAGGTCCCAGGACTTAGTTATTTTTAACTGAGCGTCTTAGTACTTACATCATGTTTTCACACTCCCCAACCTCTCATCAACCACCCTGCTTTTCTCTGGCTCTCCAGCTAGGAAAAATCCCACCTGTCTGTTTCAGTCTGATATATTTAGAGATCCCACATATAAGCAACATCACTACCATGCACTGTTGGATTTTTTGATCTCACCTACCTCTGCTAGAAGACCTTCTCAGTTTTACATGTTTTCCACTGGTATTTTTAACAATAGAACAAAACATCCAAAATTTTGTTTGGAATCACACAAAGCATCCTGAATAGCTAAAGCTTAGTTCCTGGAAAAATCAGAAGCTCCCATTGTATCACAGACAGAGAAGCCACTGCCTGCTCTGCTGGTGTTGCTTGTGGGAGCAAGAGTTCAAGCCCCTGATGCTTCGGGACTGATTTCAGCTTCTAACGGACGTGCCTGGGAAAGCAACGGAATTTGACCCAAATATTTGGGCCCTGCCTCCCACATGGAAGACTTGGGTAGACTTCCAGACTCCTGATTCTGACTGCATATTTCAGTCTGACCCAGTCCCAGCCTTTGCAGCTGTTGGAGGGATCAGTTGGAAGACGGAATGTCTCTTCTAGCGTTATCATGCTGCCTTTCATATAAAATAGATCCATAGGGCCCGGCGCAGTGGCGCAAGTGGTTAAGGTCCTCGCCTTGCACGCCCGGGATCCCATATGGACACCGGTTCTAATCCCGGCAGCCCCGCTTCCCTTCCAGCTCCCTGCCTGTGGCCCGGGAAAGCAGTCGAGGATGGCCCAAAGCTTTGGGACCCTGCACCCACGTGGGAGACCCGGAAGAGGCTCCTGGCTTCTGATTGCCATAGTATCAGCCGTTGCGCTCACTTGGGGAGTGAATCTTCGGACAGAAGATCTTCCTCTCTGTCTCTCCTCTCTGTATATCTGCCTTTCCAATAAAAAAATAATAAAAATAAATCTTTTAAAAAAATAGATCCAAAAAAATCTTAAAGAAGTTACTGACTTCACATTTTCTTATTTCAAACTATATCAGAAGACATGTCATCAGATTACTGTACTGCCTGCAATACATCAAAGGGACACAGACCTCAAGGAAACAGAATCAAGGGTCCAGAAAAAGATGACACAACTAATTTTTGACAAGGACTCCAAGAACTCAGGACAGAGAAATCAAAGTCTCTTCCATCAGTCATGCTGGGAAAATTGGATAGCCCATTGCAAACAATGAGGCTCGTTCTATATTTGCCACCTCCTATAAAAATTTTCCCCCTTGTACTTTAAATACAGAAGTGTACCTGAAACTATAAATCTCTGGATAAAACAATAGAAAAAGTACTTGATATCAATTTAAGCAGTGATGCTTTGGAGATGGCAATCGAAGTAGATGGAAGCCTTTGGTTGAGGATGCTTCTCATTGCAATGCACCCCTGAAAATCATCACCTGTGTCAAAGGAGAATATACTTCCTTCAGAGGATGAAATTTACATATTTATAAAATATTCTGGTGCATTTTTAAATTCCACACTAGTATGATTCTAACTCGTTAGAATATATATAAAAACCCTCACAAGAAAATAGATAACCTTATATGTTTCAATATGGTGTGAAGGCCTGATTGACATTCCTAATGTATACATATATCTGGGATTTGCCGTGAGCACAATCTTTGTTGAAGTCAGAGAAAATGCCAAAGAATGCATTTTTTTAACCTCAAGATTCACATTCTCTTCAAGTTTTTCTAAACACATCAATCAATCAATGTGAACT